TGGCGGATTGTGGTATAATACTGCATTATACTTTGTTGTATAATACAACAAAGTTTGTGCAAGAAACCCCGTGTTCAACACAAAGTGCTGTAACACACCAGGAACGGTAACACACCACGGCAGTGTGAAGAGAGTGTCACCGCCTCCATGAACCTGAGGTTTTTTTCTTATCGCTGTTGGTGAACTGCCTCCTTCCTCGGGCAACACTGCTAAGGGAATCCGATTCGTCAAGTTTTGCTATGCTATTCATGTGCCCAAACTCTGTAGCGGTAATGCTGGCTTGACCGTGCTGCTAGTGTGAGGAAGACCGCGTATTCGTTCGAGTGCGCTACAACTGTTGAATTCTCTTCAACAAACTCTTCAGGTTAAGTCTTATTCGTAATGCCTTTCGCCTACGGCATCTTTTTGCTTGCCATTGTGACGCAAACCGCAGCGCAGAGACAACCTGATACCCCTTTCCAGGTTACTGCTGACTATCCAGATGGTTGTTATGGAGGTCCTGGTCCAGGGTATGGGAGCGACATTGGCGATCTTCAACCGCCTTGCTGCATTTACAACATGAAGGGATACACAAAGGATGGGTTTCATAGAGAAACTGCTGGTATCATACTAAAAACCAACAGGGATGGATTATCTGGCACTATGCAAATGAACGTCACTTTGATGTTTAACCTCTCCCTGCCCTATCCCAATTTTCTTGGTGTCGAAGTGGAGACGTATGGATTGGCTCACCTTAGTATCGGTGATGAAACCCGAAAGTTCTACTTGTCCATAGGCGGCGGCAACGTGAAACGCTCCTATGGCACTGGAATGATGGTCTACGCTCCGATTAATGAGGCTGGTTTTATCCCTAACAAGGGGAGTGTTGTCCATATTTGGGGGTTAGATTCTCTAAGAGGTACAGCTACCTCAACCGGGCTGTCGATAGCTGCTTCCCACAGACCCGCCACCAATGCAGAAGTTGTCAATTTCTGGTCAACAACAGTCCTTCACATGGAGAAGAGGAAAGATGGTTGGGACTACAAGTTGGAATACTTCTTTTATGATTTGACTCGTAAAATCGGAGCTTACGACAAATATACTATCCGCGGCTATTTGCTGGACAATGTTGTAGTGTGATTCACACTTTGTAAATCTACGCAGCATCATGGTCCTATGCCTAGGCGGTGAGTGAGGTGGGTGGGCTACCACAATTCTGATGCTGTACGCACCGTTCATATATCTTGAATTATACGAAGACTTTTGACGACACCATTAATCTATTTATTTTTTCGCGTTTTTCATATCCATCTTTGATATAGCAGTAATGTGGTTCGCGTACTCCTGCTTTCTATTCCTCATCGGGATGCAGGTCTGCGCATCGCTGTGTGGGGTATTTAGCTTGTTCACGAGTACATTTCAACTTGAAGAGTGCCAAAGAGTGAAGATTCCGGTAGGCTCATGGTCTACTATTGCTGGGCTGTCAATAATTATGTAGTGGCTGATTATGGTATTGAAGAAGACCAATATGATACGCTTCTATATCCTTCAATGCTGTTGATGTTGCTGCGTTCATATACGGGGGCACTTAGTAGGTGCCACTCACAAGGTCAACTCGGCTTCTTACGATGATCGGTCGAAACATCTGATCGTACACATCTCTATTTGAGGACTTTAACCTTCGTGTCCCACCCTGGGACTCCCAGGTTCCCACGTCGCTACGGGATATTTTGGGCATCCGTTGCTTGCCAATGCTCTCTGCTGTAGCACATACCCAACTTTACAGCAGGTTGTCTGAGAAAGTTTCCAAATATTTCCGCGAGTGAAATTTTCCAGGAAGCTTATGCTAAGTGTGCATTTTCGATGCTAGAGACCATCTATTCATTTCATACAGCCTTACGATCGTTAGAATGGAGGAATTGCTTAGCTACTCTTACCCAGCATGCCTCGAATAAAGGAAATACCTCGCTGAACAAGCGGACATGTGTAGGAACCAATAAGAATTTCCCAAACTTTTCACAATTTTCATATTGTCGCCACCATATGTGGTTGACCTTGTGCATACTTTCCGACACTACTTGAAGCGTCAAGTAGAAAATACGACCTCTATAAAATGGTATGCTACAAATCTGTTCTTCTTGCGGTGTGAGCGGAGCTATTAGACGCATCTCAAACGTGCATGCAAATTCCCTCTCCTATCTATCACTACCCAGAAATCTCTAAAAACAAGAGCTTGACCCTCATTGCTGGAGACATACGAGCCATATGTCTCAAGCAAAAAAAGGTTGGGGGTACGATTCGTATGATACGACCCTAGACATGACCACCCTTGCCCGGCCCCGTCGCCCCGATTCGCCCCGGCCCGGCCCCGGAACGAACCGAGCCGGGCCGGGTCAAAGTCACAAACCCGGCTTCCCCGCCGGTAGTGCCGGGTTTATGCGGGTGACCGGGCAAAAAATGACCCGCAACTGTCTGCGGGTCACCCGAAAACCCCACAGGGCAGATATTTCAAGCCATTAATAGTGCTTTTAATTGTATGTAGCGCGGAATTCCGCGTTAATTTCCTGGGATCGCCGCGCTTGCTGGAAATTCTTGTGTCAAGCGTAACCTCTCTCCTTCCTTTGAAGTGGATGGTGCTCTGAAGGAAAGGTGGTCAGTTTGAGAACTGTATGCCTTGGGAGGTGTAGCTGGTGCTGGTAGTGATCCATGCCTGCTTCATGCCCGTGTTAGATCGGCCGGTGATGTAGTCAGATCTTTGACTGCTGGTATTTTGCCTATTGGTGCTCCCAATGAGAAGCGAAAATGGGATACCACAGTCTGCCTTTCGAGTGGCTCTGACCGTTATAATATACTCAAACGTTGCTATGATGTGATTAGTAGTCATGTTCGTAGTACTTGTTGCCATCGGTTTTATGGTGCTCAGAGACTGTTGGTTTATGTTGATGCAAGTACCATTGGTTGGGGCTTTTGCATCTATAGACAGCCTCAAGTTGGCAACAAGTGGGCGTCGGAATGGTTGTTCCAGGAAACAGCTGGTATTTTTAAGAAGCAACAGATGATCCATCACATTAACAGAAAGGAACTTTGGGCACTATCTCGTGCGGTAATCTGTTTACATTCGCTATTATTGAATTCGGTTGGTCGGCTGATGGTTCCTATTGAGGAGATAGTTGTTCTATGTGATTCTCAAACAGCGTGTCGATGGAGTGTCAACACCCGGTGCGCTCCGAATAGTGTGGAGAAGGTTGCTGTTCGTCGTTTATCATTCTCTATTCAAGAGATTATTGGTGACCTCAAGGAGGCTGGTGTACGATGGACTCTTAAGAAGGTGGTTAGCTCTGAGAGCCGAGCAGATTCTCTTAGTCGTCTGGGGGTCGCATTAAAAGGCCTCGAGATAGTAGATGATGATCTTCCTGCTGTGTTCGAGTCCAGGCCAATATCGCATGTGTCACATTTGGCTCATAGTTTGGAACCCACATTGTGGATATTGAGCGTCTTATTCGTACTCAGCGTGAGTCAAAGCTCTATGGTGAGGTTGTGAAGGTACTGTTAGATGGGAGCAATGATACTACTTCACCTGCGGTGAAGAAAGCTTTGGAACGGAAGCGGCTTCGTGATGATGGTGTTCTACTTTCACTAACCTATCCTCACGGTGATCTTACTCAAAGTCCTAGGGAAGTGATTTTCATTCCAGCGGACACTGAGGAAGGTTTAGCTGAGGCTTACCGAGTTGTAGACGGAGATCATCAAACAACCCATTTCAATGCTCGTTATATAAAATGGCAAGTGAGCCGTGACTTTCATATCCCGAGTTTGGGCCGTATCGTTGGGGATATTTGTCGGCGATGTGACCGTTGTCAGTTCGCAGCAACGAGTCGTTTCTTTGAAGGAGCGTTTGGTCCTACCGATGTGGCTGCTCATTCGGTCTGGTCAGAGGTGGCTATAGACCTCTGTGGTCCTTTTCCGAGAGATTCCGATACCGGTTTTACCAGTGCTATGGTTTTAGTCTGCCTATATTCACATTCCGTCTTTGTTTGTGGGCTTAAAAACCAGGGAGGTGCTGCTGCTGCCGAGGCTATAGATAAGATTTGTGACGTGGTGGGTACCATGGGTAGACTTCGTAGTGACGGAGGAAGTTGCTTTACCTGTGCAACCTTCAAGAAGGCATGTGAACGGCGTCGTATACAACATCTGGTGGTTAATCGCTATAGTCCGTTCCAGAATGGTGCAGCTGAACGAGCAGTGGCCGGTGTTAAGAAGATCTTTCGACTATTCCCTGAGATCGTTGCTCAGAGTGGTAAGCAATCCCGTTGGTTCTCTCTTCTTGGTCGCTCTATCCGTTGCTTGAACGATAGACCGTTTTCGGGTTCTACACCGTTCGAGATATTTTATGAGAGGTCTCGTAATCATGAAGAGAAGCTCCGCTATGATGGTATCCCCCAACTGGTAGTCCTGCTTTGGCTAATTTGATGACCAGAGACGTGCAGTTCGGGA